GTATAACTGCTTACTTCTTTTTGGGAGAGGGAAAAAATTGGTAGAGACCCATAGAATCTCTGGCTGGGCAGATTGCTAGAGATCTTCTTCTATAGGAGGCCAGTCCATGAAGACTCGAAGAGGTGCGTGCTTTGTCTAGTGTGCATACATCAACACAAAAAGTCAAGAAAAATGAAGAACCAGGCACAGATGTTCCAAACAAAGCACAAGTTAAGTCTCCAGAAACTGACCCTAATGGAACAGATAATATGGATTATCTGACAGAGAATTCAAAATAGCTCTCCTAAAGATACTCACCAAGGTTGAGAGAACCAGGCAGGAATAAAGTGGGAATTTCAACAGAGACATAGCAAATATTTTAAAATACCAAATAGAAATCCTGCAGCTAAAGAAAACTAATACCCAAACTAAAAAGTTTACTGGAGTGGTTGAACAGCAGACTAGGTCAAGCAAAAGAAAAATATCAGGGAACTTGGAGTAGTTACAGGAAATAATTCAGCCACAGGAACCAAAAGAAAAAAGAATGAAAAACAGTGAAAAAGCTTAGGAAAACATACATATCATGAGGCTGACTGATACATGCATTGTGGGAGTCATAGAGGAGAAGAGAAAGGACCAGAAAGCTTATTCAAAGAAAAAATAGCTGAAAACTTCCAAACCTGGGACAGAAAATAAACTAGGAATCCCAAAGGACACACACACACAAAAATACCATGTCTCTGATACCATTGCTATCAGAGTGACAAAACTCAGAAACAATTCTGAAGGCAGCAAAAGAGCTTCCCACACTTAAGGGGGAACCTCTATAAAACTCAGCAAACTTTTCAAATGGAATCTTGTAAGAAAGAAGGAAGTAGGATGACATAAGTTTTGCATGAAAAGAACCATCAACCAGAAACGCTATACACTGCAGAACTCTCCTTCGAAAACAAGGGAGGGTAAAGATTTTCAGCAAAAGACAAGGTGAAGCAGTTCATCCCCACAGGATCTGCCTTATAAGAAATGGCAAAGGAAGTTCTTCAATTTAAAATGAGAGAATGTTTAACTAAGATAGATTGTAAGCACATGTGTAAATATCATGATATATCCCTGGTACAGCTGTTATATGCTAATAAAAATGAAAAATGCTGTCAAAAATAAAATCAAATCAGATTTTTAAAAATAAAATGAGAGGATGCTGAACTGCAACCCAATAGCATAAGAAAGTACAAAACCTGTTGGTAGAGGTAATACATAGACAGATACAGACCACTGTATTACTGTAATGGTGAAGGATAAATTATCTTAATTCTAATATAAAAGTATTAAGTAACTATAACTAAAATGCATGTTAAAAAGGCATGTAATATGAATAGATGTACACTGACAACAGTCACATAAAGTAGGGGAGTGGGAGAAGTTAGAAGGTAGAGGTCATACATGTGATTGGACTTAAGTTTTCAACTTAAGATAGACAGTTATAACTGTAAGATATTTTATTTGAACTCCATGATTTACCAGAAAGTCTAGAAATTACACAAAAGAAAGGAAGCTACATATTAGTACAATATATTGATAAAATACAAAGGAAGACAGCAAGATACAAAAAAGACAAAAGTATAAGTCTTAACAGAAGTTAACAAAATGGCAATAGTAAATCCTTCCCTATCAGTAATTACTTTAAATTTAAAAGGATTAGCCTATCAATCAAAAGACATAGAGTGGTTAAATTGATTGAAAAGAAAACAAAAATCCAATTATATGCTGTTTAAAAGAAACTCCTATTAGATTGAAGACATGCATAGGACAAAAGTGAAAGGATGGAAAGAGATACCCCTACCCCGTGCAAATGGTAACCAAGAAAGCAGAATGACTTTACTTAGGTCAGACAAAATAGACTTGAAGTAAGAAACTGTCACAGGAAACAAAAGACATTACATAATGATAAAAGGTTCAATTCAACAGGAAGCTGTAACTAAATATGCACCCAACATATGTAAAGCACACATTAACAACTGAAGGGAGAAACAGACAGCAGTGCAACAATAGCAGACTTGTTTTGTTTTGTTTTTTGGTGTACTGAGATTTGATCTCACATAACTTGTACTTGCTAGGCAGATACTGGCTTTAGTTATTTTTCAAGTATGGTTTCGCATCTTTGCCCAGGGCCTATCTCAGACTGTGGTTCTTCTACCACAAATGTAGGATGATAAGTATGTACCACCATATCTGACTTATTTGTTGAGATGGGACCTTGCTAACTTTTTTCTCCAGACTGGCCTCAAATTGTGATGGTCTTGATCTTCACCTCCTGAGTAATTGGGATTATAGGTGTGAGCCACCATTCCCAGCCTACCAGGAGACTTTTAATACCTCACTTCCTAATTGACAGAAGATCAGTAAGGAAACTAAGAACTTAGAGAACACTGTTGAACAAATCTAGTGGACATACACAAAGCATTCCTTTCAAAGACAGCAGAATATACTTTCTTCATAGGGTACCTAGTTCTTTTTCCAGGATAAATCATATGTTAGGTCACAAAACAAGTCTTAACACATTTAACAATACTAGAATCATATAAGTAACTTTCCCAAACACAGTGGGATGAAACTTAAAATCAACAGTAAAAGAAAAACTGGAAAATTTCGCAAATGTGTGGAAATTAAGCAACATACTTGAACAACCATTGGGTCAAAGAAGAAATCAAAAGGAAATTAGAAAATGTCTCAACAAACTTAAAGCACAACATATCAAAATTTATGGAATATATCAAAAGCAGTACTAAGAGGAAGTTCATAGTGATAAATGCCTACAGTTAAAAGAAGAAAAGCTGGGCATAGTGGTACACACCTGTAATCCCAGCTACTTAGAAGGCAGAGGTAAGAGGATCACTATGAAGAAAGAGAAGAAAGAAGCTCTCACATAAACAACTAACTTCACACCTCAAAGAACAAATTAAGCCCTGATTTGACTGAAGAAAAGAAATAAGAGATTAGGCATAAAATAGAAAACCAATAGAAAAAAAAATCAAAACTAAGAGTTGGTATATTGAAAAGACAGTTAACTAACAGGCTAAGTAAAAAGAGAAAACTCAAGATTAGAAATAAAGACATTACAACTGATGCCACAGAAAAAAAGGATCATAAGAGACTACTATGAATAATTATATGCCAACAAATTGGGTAACCTAGAGGAAATAGACAAATTTGTGGAAACATATAAGCTACCAAGACCGAGTCATGAAAAAATAGAAAGTCTGAGCAGACATTTTAAGTAGCAAGAAGACTGAGTCATTAGTCCAAAGCTTCCAAAAAAGAAAAGCCTAGCACTAATAAATTCAACCAATCATTTAAAGAACTCATGCGAGTCTTTCTCAGACTCTTCCAAAAAATTGAAGAGAGAACACTTCCAACTTAATTTATGAGGCCAGAATTACTCTAATAACCAAAAGCAGCCAAAAATCTATGAGAAAAGAAAATTACAGGCCAATTTCTGTTTCTTGACCTAAGTGGTGCTTTTCCAACTGTGCATTTGTATTTGCAAATTTATTGTATTTAATACTTTACACACTTTTGGGGGGTGGACTGGGGTTTCAACTCAGGGTCTCCCACTTGCTGAGCAAAAGCGCTACTACTTGAGCCGTGCCCTTAGTCCTTTTTGGTATTAGTTACTTGTCAGATAGGGTTTTGCTTTTTTTTTTGCTCCAGCTGGCCTGGACCAATATCCTCCTACTTAAGCCTTAGCACATAGCTGGGATTACAGGCATGAGGTCAGGGCTCAGCTCACTTTTTGCCCAGGCTGCTTGAACTGCAGTCCTCCAGGTATCTTTCTCCCAAGGTGAAATTACAAGTGCAAGTGGCCATGCCTAGCTTCACAGTTTTAAAAGTTAAAATTTCCTACCAAGTTCAATATTACAAGTGGATAAAACTCATCAATGTTTAGTTTAAAAGAGAAAGAGGAGCCAAGTCTAGGAACATGTGGGAGCTAAAAAACAGATTAGATGAACCTTGGTGAAGAAGTCTATATTTCTCTGTTGCGAGACTAGGAATGGGAGAAAGAATGCAGAGGGAGGATGATTCTGAGTGCAGAAGCGTTTAGAAGGAAAGTTTGAGAGAGCTGTAAAATGGGAAGCACAATTACTTGCCAAAGCCAGAGTAAGAGCAGGGAGTATGGGGCAGAAGTGTAGCGTTTCTTCGGGCTTAGCCATATATTTAAATTTTCATTCAGCCATCCAGAATTAAACTTGCCATGGAATTTCTAATGTTGCTATTCACAAGCAGGTTCTTAACGTAATCAAAATTCTAGGCCAGAGACCCAACTCCAGAGGTTCCAACATGTCAGGTCCAGCCACTTGCCTCAATACACCAAAGAGGCAAGCAGCAGTGCAGGGTAGCAAAAGATTTATTGCATGGGATGGGCATGCCTGAGAAAGAGGCAAAGGAAGCTCTACAGCCTATCTTCCCTGGTGCACACATGAGCTTTAGTTTAAATAGACAAAGAATTGGGTCGTGAAGGAAGAGGTGTGCGTAATTAATGAATAACCCCAGTCACAGGTGTGGTCCAGTGGTCAGAGGTGTGGTCTGGTTGGTCATTATCTCAGGACTGGTGAAGAGGGGCCTGGTCATAATAAGAAACGCATTGTGTCTGGTCCTGTGACAAGATGTTATCAATCAGTCCTGTCCTTCCTGAAACCCAAAGTGGCTGCAAGGTGACTGCTCAGAGCAAAGACTGATATAAAATGGAGGCAAAGATGCCAGCCTTTTATATTGCTTCCAGTTAACTGCGGGCCCAAGTAAGGAGCCAGTGCTTTTTAGCAAAAGCAGTTTCTAAGTACCTGTTTTATTAATTTTTCCTCACAGGTTGGCATTACCATATATAATTACACATTTTTTAAAGACATTCTGTTCTTTAAAATGTAACGAAATATAATGTTTATATTTAATTGGCTATTTTAGAAGGCAAAATATACTTCCTTTGCTAGAGAACAATTTTGCTGATTTCATTTTTCTTTCCTATCCAGGTTATGTATGGAGTGTTGGTCTTCACACTAGTACTCCGATCTATTTATATTGTTACATGGTAAGTAGTTTGAATCATCAACACCACGATTAAAGTACCCTTGACTTGTAACAGTAAATCTGTAGCCTAAATTGAAAAAACACATAAAACATAACTCCAGCAGGGATGTTGATAGAAAACTATCGCCCAACATTCATCATGGCATAAGGAATGCTAGTTCTTTGGATAAGTTTTTAGTGGGAATCATGTGAAAACGAGAATTCCAAAATTAAAGAATCTGAGGAAAACTGTATATGATAGCATCCTTTTGAATGTGTATAACATTCATTAGGTATTAAAAATCTTGAAAAAGCATACATAAAAATATGTTTTTGTTTTTAATCTTTCTCAAACTTACTTTACTAGGGGACCCTTTTTATATAACACCTCTCAAGGAAAGCTACTAATGTCACAAAGAAATAGTGTTTCTTGGAAGACCATCTGGAAATGGGCATAATCTTTAGTAGATTTAATGAAAATGAAACAAAAAATACCATTTATGAGAGTGCTTTAAGTAGGTGCTGGTCATATAGCCCTTTAAGAGGCATATAGTTCAGTATATAAGTAGTATTACTTGTTTGTCTGTTTTTCTGATTTTGTTTTTTATTTTTAAAATAAACTTCATTTTGAGATAATCGTAGAAGTGCATACATTTGGCAAGAAAGAATAGAGATCTTCTGTACTCTTTACCAGTTTCCTCCAATGGTAACATCTTACAAAGCTGTAATACAGTATGACAGTCAGATTTGACTTGATACCAATACCACATGGATTGTTGTCTTACTTCACCCAGTTCCCTTCCTCCTCACTGACATTCTCTATCCGTAACCCCTGACAACCACTAATCTGTGTTCCATTTTTATGATTTTGTCATTTCAAGAATGTTATATAAATGTAATCATAGTATATAACCTTTGAGATTGTCTTTTGAACTCTGGAAATTAATTCAAGTTGTTGAGTGCATCAATAGTGTATTCCTCTCTATTGCTGAGTAGTATTCCACGGTATAATGTTCCACAATTTAACTATTGCCCTGCTGAGTAACATCCAGATTGTTTCCAGCTTGGGGATATTATAAATAAAACTGCTATGAGCTTCTACATACAGATTTTTGTACGAACACAAGTTTTTCATTCTTGAGGAATAAAGCCCAGAGTGGAATTGCTAGGTTGTATGGCAGTAGTTTGTTTAGTTTTTCTTAAAACTGCTGAACTATTTTCTAGAGTGGCTGTACCATCAATACAGTCACACCAATGATGTATGAGTGACCACTTTCACAGCATCCTCATCAGCATTTAGTGTTGTCACTGTTTTTTGTTTCAGCTATCCTGATAGGTGTATACCGATAGCTTTACTATTAACTTGCATCACCCTAATGGTTAATGATGTTGAATATACATTCTTCATGTGTACTTATTTGCCATCCATATGTTCTCTTTGGTAAAATATCTGTTATATGTTTGCCCACTTTCTCTTGATTTATTTAGAGTTAACAAAGATGGTTTCTTTTGTTTTAATAGTTGAGTTTTGAGGTTCTAATTCTTTGTCAAATGCATGGTTTGCAAATATTTTCTCCCAATCTATACCTTGCAAGGTCTTTAATGAGCAAAGATCTTTAATTTTGATCAAGTCACTTTTTCCTTTTTTATGGATCATGTTTTTGTTGACAAATCTAAGAACTCTATACCTAACTGTGGATCCCAAAGATCCTATGGTTTTTTTTTCCTAAAAAATTACATTGTTTCATGTGTATATTTAAGTGTATATTTTGAGTCAATTTTGTATAAGGCTTGAAGCCTAGGTTGAAATTCTTTTTTTTTTTTAATTTAATCTATGGATTCTAACTGCTCCAAGACTATTGATTGAAAACACTGCCCTTTCTCCACTGAATTATTTTATACCTATGTGAAAAAAAAGTGGGATGTATTTGTGTGGCCCAATTTCTAGGGTCTCTATTCTATTCTATTGATCAACATATCTGTCCCTCCACCAGTACCACATAGTCTTGATTACTATAGCTGCACAAGGCTCCAAATCATACAGATTGATTCCTCCCACTTCATTCTTCTTTTTCAAAATTGTGTTAGCTATTCAAGTTACTTTGCCTTTATTTCATTTTATTTTTTAAATTTTGGGGTGCTGGGGATCAAGCCCAGGGCTCATACATTCTACTACTAAGCTACCTATCCAGCCCTCTTTATGAATTTAAGAATAATATTGTTTATATTTGAAATCTTGTTGGGATTTTGATAAGAATTACATTACATATGCTATCAATTTGAAGAGAGATTGACATCCTTACTTTGTTGAGTCTTGTAACCCAGTAGTTTGACTCTCAATTTATTTAGATCCTTTTCTTTTCATCAGCATTGTGTAGTTTTTGTTTTTTAAGCAATTATAAGTGCTATTATTTTTTGCTTTATTTCATTTTTGTTTGTTTTTGTGCTGATAGGGGTCAAACTGAGGCCTTGCACATGCAACACACTCTACCTCTGAGCTATGTCTCCAGCCCAGTATTGTGTTTTTAAATTTTGATATGAACATGTTCATTGCTGTTATGTAGAAATACAGTGGATTTTGTTTTCTGTTTGTTTTATTTTGCCACCTTGTGAAGTCAGTAGTTAAAGGAGGTATTTTGAGATTTATTACAAATGGAGACTTTAGTATCTTCCTTTGTAATATATATGCTTTTTATTTCCTTTTTCTCTCTATTGCCCTCACTAGACTTTGCAGGACTTACGTTGAGTAGGAATAGTAAGAACAGATATCCTTGCCTTGTTCCCAATTTTAGAGGAAAAGCATTCAGTCTGTTGCCATTGAATACAATATTTGCTCTATTCCTTTTGTAGATATTCTTTAACAAGTTGAATAAGTTGCTCTCTGTATTACTTTACAAGGACTATCCGTAACAAAATACCATAGATTGTATGACTTAACAACAGAATTTTATTTCCTCACTGTTGTAGAGAGTAAAAATCCAAGATCAGTCTCTCTCTGGGTTTGGTTTAATCTGCCACCCTCTCCTTGGCTTACAGATGGTCATCTTCTCTCTGTGTTCCTACATGGGTTTTCTCTGCATATGTGTTTTTTTGGTGTCTCCTGATTGTGTGTCCTAATCTCCTCCCTTTATAAGACAGCAGTCATATTGAGTTAAAGCCTTCCTTAATAGCCCCATTTTAACTTAATTACCTCTTTAAAAACTCTAGCTCTAAATATGGTCACATTGTGAAGTACTAAAGGTTAGGACTGCAGCATAGAAATTTTGGGGGAGACATTGTACATAACCCCATTCCTAATTTTCTTTACCTTTAACATGACTAGGTACTGAATTTTGTGAAATGATTTTCCTATATCAATTGGTTTGGTCATGTGATTTTATTATGTATTCTAAGGGTGCTTTTTTGAGGTGGGGGTGTGCTAGGGATCAAACCCAGGGCCTCGTGCATGCTAGGCCAATGAACCACACCCTCAGTCCTATTTTGTATTCTGTTAATATAGTAGAATACATTGATTGATTTTTCAAATATTGAACCAGTTTTGCATTCTTGAATAAACTCCACTTAGTCATGGTGTATAATTCTTTTTTATATTGCTGAATTCTACTTGCTAAAGTTTTGTTAAAGATTTTTGTGTCTACATTCATGAAGGACATTAGTTTATAGTTTTAATTTTTTTTTTTTTTTGTAGTACTGGGATTTGAACTCTGCTTCATACTTGCTAGGCAGGCGCTCTACCACTCGAGTCACTCTGCCAGCCCTGTAGTTTTAATTTTTTTGTGCTGTTCTGTGTATCTGAGTATTGTGAATTGGTAAATGTTCTTCCTGCCCTATTTTCTGGAAGAAATTGCATGGACTTAATGTTAATTCTTCCTTAAATGTTTGGTAGAATTCTCCAGTGAAATCAACTGAGCCTGGAAAGTTTGAGCCTGGAAGTTTAATGCAAATTTTTAATTTGCATTAAAAATTACAAATTCAGCCTTCTTAATAATTAACAAGTATATTCAAATGATCAGTTTTGTATTGGGTCAATTATGGGGACCTAGGCTTTAACACATGAGCCTGTAAGGGGACATTTCATTTTCAAGTCATAATATATATCTTGCATGTGTTCCATGTGTGCTTGAAAAGAATGTTTTCTGCTGTTGGTGAGTGAAATCTTCTATAGAAGTAGATTAGCTCCTGTTGGTTGATGTGTCAGCATTCTCCCAAACCACTCTCACTACTGTTTCACTGTAGAAGGACTCACAAAACCCAGAAAAACTATTATACTCGTGGTTATAATTTATTTCTGTAAGTCAAACTGATCCAACATGGCCTAGGATCCCATACAAACAAAAACCAATGCTCACTATAAATCTTATTTTTAGTATAAATTATCTGGCATGACAGATGGTATCAGGTATACAGAAATAATTTTATTACACAGGATTTTCAAGGGACTCAGAGATTGTCTCCCATGGGCTAGTTAAAAGCCAGTCCTTTCTTTGAATGTACAGTGTTTACACTCTCCAACCCACCAAATGCACAGTGGTGTTGTTGAGTTCTTATATTGTTACTGACTTTCTGTCTAGTTGTCCTGTCAGCTGTTGAAAAAGGAATGTTAGTCTCCAAACATGTTAAAGCCAAACAGGCTTGTCTGTTTCTCCTTAATTCTATCAATTTTTATAAAATATATTTTGCAGCTCTATTGTTTGGTGCATAGACATTTATTCTGCTTTTTTTTTTTTCTTTTTTGGATGAATTGACTTGTCATTACGTGATGTTTCTGTCTCTGGTAATTTTCTTTGCTCAGAGTCTATTTTATCTGATGTTAACATAACTATATTAACATAGGTTTCTTTAGATTACCTAGATCCATCCTTTTACTTTCAGTTTGCTTATTTTGTTAAATTTGAAGTGAATTTCCTTTAGATCTCATATAATTGGATCATAGCTTGTTGTTAGGTGGTTTTTTGTTTGGGGTTTTTTTGGGGAGTGGGGGTGAGGTAGAGTCTCACTTTATAGTCCATTCTGGCCTCAAAT